GTCGTTTAATGGATTTAAACATATCATCGAAACACTGAATCAAAGAAGAAAATGGCTAATGAAAACATAATTATTCTTATTATTATTTTCTTTTATTTGAGGCATTTTCTTTTCAATATACCATCTCTTGGAAGGAGCAAAAAAAAAGAAGGGCCCCATTGTCCTAATTCCAAGCATCCTATTTACATCTGAAATAAAATTGAGCTAATTCCACGGATACTGTTCGTTTACATTGGTCAGAAGAGGGCCATTTGCATATATTTCCCAAATACAATCCTTGCATCGTTCAGCATCTCTATAATAAATATAAATATCAAACCAATGAAAATTGTTTGGCCATGAAAAATTACAATAATATTGCGTCGCTCCCAAAAGGTTGGGACGAAAATCGAATCCATAAACATCCTTCGTGAAGATCTTATGCACTCCAAGGTCATCATTTCATGAATTGCAGCAATAGAATTGACGGGGATGATGAATTGTAGCAGCATAATGAGGTTAAAGTAATGGGTGTTGGGGATTAAACCGCTGGCGTGGGATTGCATTTGAAAAATTAAAGGAATTGGAGGAATCGATGGAGATGGAGATGATTGCAGAAGAAGTGAAAAAAAATAGGGATTACCATCGACGGAGAAGATGAATTGCAGTGGAATCGAAGGATTCGGAGGAATCGATGGAGATGAGAGGCGATGGAGAAGGAATCGGAGATAGAGATGAAGATGATTGCAGAAGAGGCAAAGGTAAAGGGGAGGGGTTAGGATTAAGCGAACGACGCCGTTTTGGATTGGGATTCCAAATTTTTTTTGAAAAGTAGGAGTAATGGCCACTTTACCATATATATATTTGGTAGAAATATATATATATATGCTTGGAAATGATGAAGGAGAGGGAGTTATTACCGGTGTGTACCATCTAATGTCCACTGATGGGCCCAATGGGCTTTAACCAGCCTCCTGTCGGCAGGGTTCGAACCTGCTCGACCCTACCCTGGCCATGCCAAGCAGCATCATTAATTTTAAAAAATGATGTAGGAGGAATTAATTTTGAAGTTTTCACAAACTTCCAAAATCATTCTAAAAATTAACACTATGCTCTAAGACCAAGAAAGTCCAAAACAACCATTTCGAATTTGGCATTTTTTTAGGATTAAAAATTAAGTCCAAAACAACAATTTTGAATTTCGCACCCCTTTAGGATTAAAAGTTTCTTATAAATTCCACAAATACCTGAAAATAATTTTTTATGAACTCATCCCCATAACGAGTCAGAAGACTTCATGAAACATATGTCGCTGGGTAACAGCACTAAGATTTTTTTATTTTAAGGGTTAATTTTATTATTTATTTATTTTAAAATAGTTTACAACTTTTAAGAAATTAAAAAAGAGAATTTTTAAAGTATTAGTAAGATTCAAAATCTCAACTAATTAACCCAAACACCTTAAAACTTAGGCACAAACTAGTTAAAGGTTAATTTTAGGTTAAATCTTCATTTTGGTCTCTGAACTATTGTACGGACCTCGATTTAGTCCCTGAACTAAAGAAATCCTTGATTTGGTCCTTAAACTATTGTACGGACCCCGATTTGGTCTCTACTATTTATAATTTGGCCTAAGTTGGTCCTTGAACTATTGTACGGACCCCTGATTTGGTCCCTACTGTTTATAATTTGGCCTAAGTTGGTCATTGAACTATTGTACGGACCCCCAATTTGGTCCTTACTGTTTACAATTTCGTCCCAATTTGGTCTCTGAGCTATTATTTAACAGAAGGACCAAGTTGGGGTTAAATTGGTAAACAGTAGGGACCAAATTGGGCATTCGTACATTAGTTTAGGGACTAACTTGGGAGTCCGTACAATAGTTTAGGGACCAACTCAGGGGTCCGTACAATAGTTCAAGGACCAAATTAGGGATTTCTTTAGTTCAGGGACCAAATCGGGGATCCGTACAATAGTTCAGGAACCAAAATAGGGGTTTAGCCTTAATTTTATTTATTAGTGTTATTTTAAATATTGAATTTTTAAAAAATAAAATAATATTAAATAAAAAACAATTATATTGATATGTTAGCCAATGAAGCCAAGCCACGAGTCATATCACGTACCCCTGCCTAAGCAAATGTGGCACCACCGTGAAACGTGCATCATCAGGCCCACCTTCCTTCGGAATCCTTCTCCATTGTGGTCCAGAACCGGTCCGGGACAGGCGGTTCCAGTTTCACTAGATGCTGGAGTGCAACCGGCCTGTCTTATAGGTAGGTTGGGCTGCTTTTGGTCCGGTCCTGGCTTAGTTTGACTGTTAATAATTTTGTTTTGTTTTCTAATTTAAAAAAGGAAAAGAAAAAACTAAACATAAATTGGAGTCATTACAAGAATTGAACTCAGCATACAAAGTTACAATCGAGATCATATTATTAATTTAAACTAATCCTTCGGATCCAATGATTTGTTCTCAAACCTTAATATTTGGATTTAATTGGTTAAAAATTTAATTTTTATTAATTACTTAAAAAAAATTCTTTCGTTCCCTCATAATTTTTTATGTTAAAAAAAAGATCATATTATTAACTCATGTTGGATTTACTAATAATTAAGTATTATTTTATAATTTAAATATAAAATTTAAATTTTAAGGTGAGTAAATGCATTAAACTAGTATGAGGTATGTTTTTAAAATTTCTCAAAAGATATTAGTTTTAATAATATGCAGCAAAAGTTGATATAAAGGCACTTTAACCATAAATATTAAAAAATAAAAATCATATCATTAAATTAAGAGTATATGTTTAAAGGTACAATAAATGTATCATATTGTGTTAATTTACATAAAAACTTGTAAAAATTGATATTTATTTTGACATTATTGACACATAAATAATTTGAATTGGTTAATTAATTAAATCAAATTACTATTTACACTTCTTTATAAATTAATTGTGAAAAAAATTTATTAATTATAATTTTAACAGATACCTTTACAGCATAGATTAAAAAAATCATTAAACTAAATAATTTCTTGATGTCTTGTTTTTAATTAATTAAAATTTATAATTGATTAATTTTTAAAATGTAGTAACAAGAATTACCAACTCATGATCTCTGGCGCAAAAAAAAAAAATTGCTTGATTATTAATTCAAATTTTTTATATTAATCTTTATTTTTATTTATTTTTATTTTTTTAATGGTTTACAATTTAGGGGATTGTGAATTTGTGGGATGGGGATTTTTCAGAGGATTTTTCAAAAACATTAGTGGAGTTCAAAATCTTGATCAAATAACCCAAACACTTTAAAGTTTGAAAATAAATCGCTTGAACTTGAAGGTCGGGTTCATCTTTTTTTTCTTTTTTATATTTTTGATGATAAACTATAAAAAAAAAATAACTTCTTTCTTTTATATTTCTTCCCCACTAAATTCAATATTCAAATTTAATGTGGAGAAGGGCTCAACCTATTCAAAGATAGACTCAAATGGATGTTTTGGTTCAGTACTGTTCCAACTCCCCATTCTGATCCTAGGACCGTGGACTGATTCCGAACCGAGTTTGCACTGACCAGCCCGGTTGGACCCGGTCCGTTTGCCATGTATCTCAAAACCCTACCACCTTCATATTTTATGCTCGTCGCATTTGTTTACTCCACAGCCATCACGTTCAGGTCCGTCAAACTTCCGCCGTCGTCGCCTCATCGATATTCTTCCTTTGCCTTCAAGGCTTTTGTTTCATTGATTTTCCTGTTTGTTTCCAGAGAAATCGCGGGAAAGTGAATCGAATTTCTCGAATCGGTGATGTGGAGCGTTGTAAGGAGAAGAGTCACAAGTGGTGGATCGCCTGCTTCGGTGAGGACGTTGAATGTCTTGTATTATCTCTTGAATTCTAGTGTTTGTGTGGATTTAAGCGATCCTATTGGAGCTAGGAATCGAAATTTTTTTATTACGATTGTCGTTTTCGTTGAGGTTTTTAATCTTTATTTTTTGGTTTTCAGGTGTTGAGGCAGGCAATTGGGCGTGGAGCTTCCACTTCTAGAGCAGGAGAAGATGTAATTGCTGTTTTTGATTCATTTCTTTTGATTTTTCTTTGCTCATTTCTCTGCTAATTTGATTGATCTTAAAACTTGGATTGATATAGAAAGTCCCTTGATTTGGATTTTATTTTTTATTTTTTGTTTGTGATTTGGTGGGAAACGTTCTCATAAGGTTTAAATTTCAATCATTGGAACAGATATTACTTCATCCTAGAGGATTGACCCATGTTCGGAACTTCTCTCATCTTGTTTTACCAGGTAATTGTTTTCAATGGCCTTTTTGATGCTTGCATAATTATGTTGACAATATCTGTGACTTAGACGGATATTTTCTGGGTTATACAGGCTGTTCTGCTGGTTTAAGACAGTCAAGGTTAGTGAAGCTGTTCTGTTATTATTCTAACTGTTTTACTCAATTTAACATGAAGGGCATAGCTTGATGGATTAAAATATGGAACTTGTCTCGACAAATGGTTTTATACTGCTTTGGCAGTGGTGCTTTGGCAGTGGCACAAAGCAATATTGGATTAATTGAATAGCTAACAACAACCCTAACTCAGAACTTGTTTTGTTTGTTCAAGTAGATGTAGAAATGGATATGTAAAAGAAATATTTAGAGGAATTAAAACTAGTAGAAGTGCTTAAAAGGAACCTCCATGATGGTTGTTGAATAATTTTATGAAAATGGAGATGGATGCCTTTGTCATCACTTTATTGCTTCTTAACAGTTTTCTGTATGGCTATTTTTATGTGCAGGGATGTCATCTCCATTGTTCATTCAGGTGCCACCATGCAAAAGTGGATTAGACCTTTTTCTTCAGGAGATGGTGAGATTTTGGTGACTTCTCTTAATATTTTTTTCTTAAGTCTTTTCTTTTTGAAGTAGTTTTTTATTCTGGTACTTGATGAAGGGTGATTCCCAAGCATTCTGATTTTTCATTTGATCACCTTTAGTCTTGAATGGAGAAATGATATCTTACTGCCTGTCAGACTGATTCATTCTAGCTATTAGACAGAAGAGTCACTAGTGCCATTCCAAAAAAATGGGACAAACTTGCTGTGAAATGTTTTGAAAAAGGGAAAAAAAAAATTTAACATTAGTTTTCTTTTAAAACCACTTATTTTTTACTGTTTTAGAGCATAATAGGCTTGAAGAAAGGGAGTTCCTAACTAGTTGCTATAACCTTATTGGAGTTAAATCTTTTGTTAGTGAAAGTTCAAAATCAAGGTGGTGGATTTGTGGGCAGCATCTTATTGGTAAATTAATAAGAGCTGATGTATGGCAGTAAGGGCTCATTGATAAATAGGTAAATTTTACTTGTAAAATCTGTAAATAAATGAGGTATTGTTATAGTTATAGGCTTTTGGAAACCCTGATCATTTGTTTTTCTATGTTGGATATATTGAATCTGAAGGCTGAACTTTTTATCTTTGTTTCCTGTTTGTATTTGATGAAGGTGATCTGGTTGATGCTGTTGTCCCTTTTCTGGGAGAATCCATCTCCGATGGCACTGTGGCGAAATTTTTGAAAAGTACGTTTTCTTAGTGCTGATTTCTATACGTGCACTAAAAAGGTTTGTTATTTATGGTTAGAACTGCTTACTTATCTGACTTTTTGAGGGCAGATCCTGGTGATAGAGTAGAAGTTGATGAGCCAATTGCTCAACTAGAGACAGATAAGGTACTGTTGTTTTTCTTTCTTGTTGAATGTTGAGCTGAAATTTTCTATACATTTTTAATACCCTTTATGTTAATTTTCCATCAGGTGACAATTGACATTGTTAGCCCAGAAGCTGGTGTGGTCAAAGAGGTAACACATGCATAAATCTGGCTTCTTGTCAGAATCTCTTTCTTCCACCTTATTCTGTCATTCACCAATTTGTACTGCCTGATTTTTAGCAAAAGGAATTGATTGAATCTTGAATGTTTTACAATTTGGTAGCTTGTAGCCAAGGAAGGGGATACTGTGGAGCCTGGTACCAAGATTGCTATCATCTCAAAGTCTGGTGAGGGTGTAGCTCATGTTGCTCCTTCTGAAAAGATACCAGAAAAAGCTTCTCCTGAGCCTTCTCCAGCTGAAACTCCAAAGGAGGACAAGCCAAAGCCAAAGCGGGAAACTACTGCTGCAGAGAAAACTAAAGCACCTATGCCTCCACCTCCAAAGCGCTCTGCTACAGAACCCCAGCTTCCACCAAAGGAAAGAGAAAGAAGAGTAGGTTTTTGTGTTTTTTATTTAAATTGATTAGTTTTTATATATTTATTTTTTATATCATTTTGCTGAAGAAAAAAGCTATGTATCTCAGCAAGGAAATATTAGTGATGTGGCTTCAATGTCTTGGTCATTATAGGTTCCAATGACTAGGCTCCGGAAACGAGTTGCAACACGATTGAAGGATTCTCAGAACACTTTTGCAATGTTGACAACCTTCAACGAGATTGATATGTGAGTTAAATATACTTGGACTGGTTTTTTTTTTTTTTTTGGGTATTAGCCTATTAGGGGACTATTTGGCCCATGTCAGCTGCCTTATTCTATATTTCTTTCTGTCCTAATTGGTCATAATTCAAAATCCATCTTTCTGTTGGTTTTATGTGGTTAAGACATGTTTATGTCCTTTTCCTTATCCTCTTTTTTCTATTTAGTCCTTTATGCACTGCTGTCCATCACAGACAGTTATGGTCACCTCTAGGGCACCTAATAACAATATTACCATGCTTTATACATTTCACATTTGTCACCTCTGGGAGTAAGATTATGTCCTTTTCCTTATTCTCTGTTTTCTATTGAGTCCTTTAAGCATTGCTCTCTATTACGTAAAGGTAAGGTCATTTCTAGGGTACCTAATAACCATATTGCTGTACTTAAGACATTTCACATTTGTTACCTGTGTGAGTCTGACTTTCATAGACTTGTTTTCTGAAATTTTCATGAATCAGTTGTCCATATTACCCAAAAAGTGATGCTTAAATTTTTTAGCTATGCATTGGATGAATAGATTCCAGCATGAGAGGTTGTGGTGCACCCAAGTTTTTATTGAAAATAAAGTTCTTTTAGCTTTATATTATTGAGATTTGATCCGGGTAATTGTGAGTTCTTGTCATCATTTTCGTTTCTATTTTTTGTTATATATATAGGGACAACAATATTAAAACTGTGTCTGTCTGTTTGTGGTGGAGTTCATTTTGAGTTTTTGTCTTTCCTAATAGAGTTGGTTCTTGTTATAGGACTAATTTGATGAAGCTGCGGTCTGATTACAAGGATGCATTTGTTGAAAAGCATGGTGTAAAATTAGGATTTATGTCTGGCTTTGTTAAGGTAAGTGTATTCTATACATCTGAAGTTGCTTGTTTATACTAGCATTTGAGTATGAATTTTTAATTTTGTATTATTAAATATTTCAGGCTACTGTTAGTGCACTTCAGCAGCAACCTATTGTTAATGCAGTAATTGATGGGGATGATATCATATATAGAGATTATATAGATATCAGTATTGCAGTTGGCACTCCAAAGGTTTGTAAGCGTCTTTTTTGTTGATTTTATTTTTCTACTGTTAAAATTCTGCTAACCTGAAGCTTTAATTTTCTGTTCTTCCAGGGCCTTGTTGTTCCAGTTGTCCGCAATTCTGAGAGGATGAATTTTGCCGAGATAGAGAAGGAGATCAACACTCTTGCAAAGAAAGCAAATGATGGAACCATATCCATTGATGAGATGGCTGGAGGCACATTTACCATATCCAATGGAGGTGTTTATGGAAGTCTTATAAGCACCCCTATCATCAATCCTCCTCAGGTTTGTGCTTGGCTGTGTCAATAATCTATAACTAGAGGCATAGAAAATAAGCACCATTGACACAGACACTTCATCATATGCGTGCATGATTATGAATTCTGAAATGTTTTCCCTTTCCCTATAGATATAGGTCATTTCTTATTTTCTTTGCTATCTATGGACTCTAGTTCATTTGGTTAGTGGAATAGAATCTCACATGCATCACCATTTTTTGCAGTCAGCTATCCTGGGTATGCACTCTATAGTGAACCGTCCAATGGTTGTTGGAGGCAACATTGTTTCAAGGCCTATGATGTATATTGCCCTAACTTATGACCATAGGCTGATTGATGGAAGAGAGGCAGTCTACTTCTTGCGTCGTATTAAGGATGTTGTGGAGGACCCTCGTAGACTGCTACTCGACATTTGAAGTGGTGGCATTGGCAGCTGTTTTGTGGTATATCCAAGATATGATCCATACTTTGGTTTTCATGAAACAAATAATTGTCTTGGGATTGAAGTTTTGTAGGGTATCATTAATTTGATTCACCTGTTTAATGATCTCCGTTACATCAGGCAATGATCCAAATTAAATTGAGAAATATTGAAATACGTATTTTAGTTTACTATTTACATTGTGCAAATGGTTTTTCCATTTGAGTTGTGCTTTGGATTTATGAGAAACTTGTGCTGTGGGCATTCGGCATTAGCAGCCCAGTACTGCCAGCAAAAGGAGATTTCATGTATTGACAATCTTTCACTTATGAATGATAGGACATAACTTATATCGTCCCTTTGACAATGTTGCATGATATTATTTTGATGTTCCCTCTAAATTGCTTAATTTTACATCTTAAAACCTGTCTGCAGGGACTGTGTCAGGAAATTTAATTAGGGGGTAAAAATTATTATTAAAATTTTGAGTCTTTAAAGAATATCTCCTATAATATTAATTTATTATTTTTTTTATTTTTTCATTATTATATTCTTAATAAAAATTAAAAATAAATATATTTACTGTCATAAAAAATAAAATATCATAGAAATAAATCATGCAATGATTAATTAAAAAATGAATAAAAAAAGAGAATGATTTTTTTTAACATGTGCATTGAGGATATAATTAATGTACTTTTCTATAATTAATTTATATGAGAATGGTAAAAGTTGACTTTAAATTAACAAATT